CGGGAGGCAAACAAGGAGGCAGAATACCAAACCTGCCTCCCAATTCGTAGATAATATACCCCTTCATCCCGCGCCGAGACAGTTCCTTCACAGCTTTTATCATCATGGACTTATCCATGTATCTTGTCACCGTCTCGGTGGTCTTGTTAAACACGTATGTCTTACTTCCAGAAGCAAAGAACACAACCACAGGGAGTAGCTCCGCATCGCAGTGCAGCAGCTGGTAGAGGAGGTACGAGCCGGCAGGCATCGACTTCCCGATCTCGGGCGTCCCAATCAACACATGCCGCTCAGGCGTAAAGTTGGTCTCACGGTGGGTGCTGAACCATTCGGTTATATCGTCCTTGACGATCTGCCACGCCCGATCTACCTCACAGCTCACATAGCAGTCACGAGTGGATTTATTCATCCTCCTTCCATTTCCACGAGCACGGCCCTTCTCTTGTCCGAGGCGAGCACCATCAGCCTGCGACACGGTGCACCGGATTTCTGCACACCGTCATCCTTTTCGAGGGACTCGCCAACTGCCCTGTACGTCCATGACTGCGGTGGCTCACCCTCCTTCACATACAGTCCCATCCCCTCGCCGCCAGAAGCTTCCACGACGTGGTGCCACCTCGCATTGTACACAGACTCGTAGCATCCCTCCAGGCATCTCGGTGCACTCGACGTCGTTGGGTTCCTCGCTTCCTCGACGGCAGCATCCAAAAACCTTTTAGTGACTCCATGAACACTTGCTTTTCCCTCCGCAGCCGCCACCAACCACTACAGTAGATTGTACACACCAGTATCGTAAAGCTTGTCTACACCTTCCCCCATATCCATTTCATCCCTTACAGCCCTCTCCATCCTCACATAACAATCGGATGTCTGTATTTCGCCCAATGCTCCCGCATCGCAAATATACTTCTTGAGGCCCTTAAAGAACGCCGTCAGCAAGACATTCCGATTGGCGTCCACAAAGCCCTTGCCGTCCAATTCCATCGTAAGAAAGTCATTCAGCTCCATTTTATTCGCGTGAACCCCTCCCTCAAACACCGCATCATCAGTCCTGAAGAAAATGTCAATTCCCAGTTCTTGTCGTTCTCGCCTTGCCATTTCTTCTGCTTTCCACCTCTCTCCTCTCAGTACCTGAGAAAAGGCTGTGTTTATTTGTGTCCTTGCAAGAGGAATGGCCGTATCCTTTTTTTAAAACTCCCTCCATTGCCTGAGAATGACAATAAGCTCTTTTCTAAGCTTATGTAAAGCCCCCAATATCATGGGCATCTCCTCACGCTCTTTTTCCAGCTCTTGGTATGACGGCGATGCCTTTATTGTGTTCAATGACACTTCGTCGTGGATGAACTCATTGGGGCTACTTAAAACGTCCTTCACATAGACCCTCGCATTGAATTCCACAACGCCCCTGCCGTCAAAATAATTCCAAAGAAAATCATTCACCCACATTTTGGTGATGCGTTCCTTTCCCTTCAGCAGCTCTCTTTCCAGCCGACGGTCAAAAGTCCAATCTGGTCACCGCGTGTCCCTCCACTCCTCTGCGAGTTGCGGCGTCGGAACCATCGCCGGAGATGCCGCTTCGAGGCGCCATCACAACACCCGTGCGGTGAAGCATCCCACTCGCACCGCCCAACTGCGGCCAGCAGGCGCCGCTGGCTCCAAAGAGCAGTCGCGGCCGTTTCGTCCCGCAGTCCCAATGACGTTGGGCGTGGCACTCGCACGGCTCGGTGGTCGGTGCGCCATGCAGCCGCACTGCAACGCCTGTCGGTGAAACAGTCGAGGCCCACCACCACAATATCGTCCTTTTTTATTTTGTTTTATTCACGTTGTCGGTCTGTTTGCCCTATACTACAGACACCAAAAATAAGTGCGCACCTGCACATAGAAGGAAAAAATAAGACACGATCCCACCGTTCCGCAGCGAGCGAGCACCCTCCCCCACCGCCATTGCCGCACAGGAGACCGCAGTCACATCGCGGAGTCAGCACCACAATGTGAACCACACCATCGTGCAGTGAACGATGGGCGGGACGCGGCCAGGCATCGCCCCGTCCCATTTTTCCATCCATCACGTCTTGCCTGCCCACACAAAGTAGCAAACAGAATCAGAGTGCACACAAACGCAATCATCCCCCTCACTCGCTGAAGCACATTATTCGCATGGAGTAGCATTTAGGGACACAGCAGCAGTAGCAGGCTGCATGGAATTTCCCTGCCAACCCTGCGAAGAGACACAACAACTCTGCGAAGTCAAAGTGGCAGCCCCGCGGTGTTGCCCGCAGTCCACATGGCAGGACAAATTGCACACACAAATTGTTCCGGATTCCTCGCTACTTGAGTGCACATCAACAGAACATGCGAAAAAACGTGCGCACAAGATGGCAATTAAATACGTGAAATCTTCAGCCTGTTTTGTTCGATGGCGTTGGCGAGCGACCCCACACAATCCAATCAAAGTGACACGCCGGACAGAATGGCGTCAGTTAATAATAAACAAAAATAATTGCGCCAATGCAAAAAGCAGCAGGGATTTGGGTTTTGCTCCCGAATTCGGAAACGACAGTGGCATGAGAGTGTGTATGTGTGCAAGGCCTTTCGTGGGACCGTGCTGTCCAATCCCGCCGTGCCCCGACACAAAAGGGCAACAAAAAAAAGTAAGAGCACACTCTCCAAAATAAGTGACGGTTGGGCAGTCAACCCCCGTTTCGTCTCACATGACATCCACATATGTGCACTCCACCTCAAATACGTACCTCCCTGAACGCCGCATACATGACGTGTGGTTTCGTCGCTCGCAATGTGTTTTTCCTCTCGCAAGCAACAAGAGGATGGCCATGGCGCAGATCCACTCAGGGGAGGCAATCGGGGCAGACACGGGTAGGAACCAAAGATCATACAAAATAAAAAGAAGGTGATAACTCCTCCAAGCCACAGAGTCGTGCAATGTTGATCCCTCTTCTTCTAAATTGAAACCTCCCCAACAGAACCAATGCAGCAGACACATGTGCAGCACAATATATTTCTCTGTCCCGCGTTCCATCTTACTTCCCATGAGTGCCACGGCGGTGGCGCCGGCGTTACACCTGAGATGACTCCAAAATATCAGGCGCCATGCTGTGGAGAGTGGATGCTTGACAAACGCGCCCGCGTTAGCGTCTAAAACGAAATGACATCAAAAAAAACAACTATCCGCGACGCAAACTACCCGTGTGTGGCCGTGCTAAAGCAAACACTGAGACGCGTGTGGAGCAACGCAAAGAAAAGAAAGAAAAAAAGAAATGCATAAATAATCCACGGGAATACACCGATCTCTATATATGTACGCAAAATAATAAATCATTCCACATAATTCTTCGATCTTTCTCTTATGGTTCTTTCTACACAACATCAAAAGCATAAAAAGCGACAGGCATTCCCTCACGCACAGTCATCGGGGAGCAGGAGAGAAAGTCACTGCAGGCACCCGCACAAGAAATAAAAACAAACCAACAATCAATAACCCGGTCGGGGCAGAGTCCGATCGGTGGCTGCGCAGCTGCACAGCAGTGGCCCCCACCCTCCCTCGTATCAGCCAGCAACTCGCACTCACAACTTCCAGGAGTTGACGCGTCACAGAAGGGCTTCATCGATTGTTTTCCCTGACGCTTTCCTGAATGCATCCTATGGCCCGCACACCAGCCACCATCGTCGAGCACTTACTCATTACTAAGTACAGATATGAAATAGAGAGAGCAACAGTCCCCATACTCGGTGCTGCAGCGAAGAGCGCAAAACACACGCACACACATACGTTACGCATCCACCCCGGGCTAGCGTGATAACTCGATAATCCGCTGTCATCGACAATCGATAAAATAAAATAAGAACACCAAATCAATCACCCAATCAATCAATGAATAATCAAAAGAAAGAAGATGCCTAGCAGAAGCATCCACGTTATGCCACATCTCCGAGGGGCTTTGTGTCTTCTCGCCGCATAACACTACTGTTGGGGGCGGAGCCTTTCCACCCCCCCAAAAAAAAAACCTGCGCCAAATTTTTCGTCAAGCGCAGCATCTTCACCTGTCCAGAGGAGCATAATTAATGCTGCAGCTCGCATCGGATGCACGGTCCAGCAGGATCAGGGCGTCTGAGCGGGTGTCACCGGCCATGGGCTGCGACGGTGCGGGTGGCCGGTACGACGACGCAACGGTGGTGCCTGAGGCGTACGACGATGACGCCATGTCGTGCGGCTTCTGCACGTCCTCGTCGCTCTCCTCGCCATCGCGCAGCAGCGCCTCCAGCCCTCCACGCTGCGGCTCACGCAGCTCCTGCCAGTGGCGGTCCTCCGCGTACCACACAACGACGCCGTACACAGTGACTGCAAGCAGCACAGTCGTCAGAAGCAGCAAGATGGCCGCGTACGCTCTCGCACCGCCGTCGCTTGGCACAAGGTGGTTGGCCGCGCTCACCACGCACAGCGCCGCAAGCAGCACAAAGCTCACCGTGCGCATCACCGTCAGGAAGGCCGAGCGCATCATGTTCGTGAAGGCAACCACGCCCGCACCCGCAAGCAGCACAGCCGCCATGCAGAAGTACAGGACGTGGCAGCCTCCCACGAGCGGGTGCGCAGCAGCAATCAGGCACACCACACACAGCACCGACAGCTGGAACACGCACCAGTACACGTAGCTGCCCTTCATGCTCGTCAGCATGCTGCCGTACATCCGCTGCTGCGCCGCGGGATACCAATACCCTACGGGGTACAGCAGGCGCTCGTGCAGCGGCTTCCTCAAAAACTGCCAGTACTTCGTGAAGCTCGCGCCCACGTGGCGAGCAATCAAGTAGCACACGCCAGCAGGGAACGCCACAACGTACAGCACGCCGACGACACCAATCACGCGGTGCTGAACGCGGGCGTCGG